AAGGCACATGACAGCCCGCTTGGAATTTGCCAAAAGGCACCTAAAGGACTCTCAGACCATGAGAAACAAGATTCTCTGGTCTGATGAAACCAAGATATAACTCTTTGGCCTGAATGCAAGCGTCACGTATTGAGGAAACCTGGCACCATCCCTACAGTGAAGCATGGTGGTGGCAGCATCATGCTGTGAGAGATCCTTGATGAAAACCTACTCCAGAGCACTCAGGACCTCAGACTGGGGCGAAGGTTCACCTTCCAACAGGACAACGACCCTAAGCTCACAGCCAAGACAACGCAGGAGCGGCTTCGGGACAAGTCTCTGAATGTCCTTGAGTGGCCCAGCCAGAGCCCGGACCTGAACCTGATCTAACATTTCTGGAGAGACCTGAAAATATCTGTGCAGCAACGCTACCCATCCAATCTAACAGAGCTTGAGAGGATCTGCAGAGAAGGATGGGAGAAACTCCACAAATACAGGTGTGCCAAGCTTGTAGCGTCATACCCAAGAAGACTCGAGGCAGTAATCGCTGCCAAAGGTGCTTCAACAAAGTACTCAGTAAAGGGTCTGAATACATACGTAAATGTAATATTTCAGTTTATTATTATTAAGAAATTCCCCAAATTAACTTTTAAGAGGGCACACCTGTTAATTGAAATGCATTCCAGGTGAAGCTGGTTGAGAGAATGCCAAGAGTGTGCAAAGCTGTCATCAAGGCAAAGGGTGGCTATTTGAAGAATCTCAAATAGAAAATATATTTTGATTTGTTTAACACCTTTTTGGTTACTACATGATTCCATAAGTGTTATTTCATAGTTTTGATGTCTTCACTATTATTCTACAATGTAGAAAATAGTAAAAAAAATAAAATAAAGAAAAACCCTTGAATGAGTAGGTGTGTCCAAACTTTTGACTGGTACTGTATATTTACAACAAAAATATATGGGGGATTGGAAATGATGCAGACAATTACATTGATGGAAGCCACAATATATCTGCAATATTAAAGCTGATTTATGAGAAAATAACTAACGACCAGCCCGCTTGAGTAGCAATTTAAGAATGCAAAAAACGAATTGACAAATTATTTGTATTCTGTCCCCAATTTCAATCTTGTCTCATCTCCATCCCCAACAGGCTTGGGAGGTGAAGGTCGAGTCATGCGTCCTCCGAAACATGACCCGCCAAACCACGCTTCTTAACACCCTCCCGCCTGCAGGCGCCCAGCTCGCCACAAGGAGTCACTATAGCACGATGTTCCAAGTAAAGCCCCCCCCCCGGCCAAACCCTCCCCTAACCCGGACGACGCTGGGCCAATTGTGCGCTGCACTATGGGACTCCCAATTGCGTCCGGTTGTGATACAGGCCGGGATCAAACCCGGGTCTGTAGTGACGCCTCTAGCACTGGCAATGCAGTGCCTTAGACAGCTGCGCCACTCGAGAGGCCACAAATTTACTTTAAAAATTATTATTATAATAATTTAATGAAAAAATGACAATATTTTTATAAATATGTTGGCAACCGTATTATAAAAGCAATAAGGCCCTCGAAGCCGTGGATTATCGTGTGATAACTCCCTCCTAAGCGCTGTTTCCCCGGCCCTCGGCTTAGTCGGGAGTTATCACACGATAATCCCCGGGTTCTCATGCCTTATTGCTTAAGTATACGTAGATTTTATTCCCAGTGGCGACCCAGAACATATCCCAGTCCGCGTGATCAAAACAATCTTGAAGCATAGATTCCTGCTTAAATTTCTGCCTATAGTTGTCTAGTGAGTTCTGCTCATGGTAAAAAAAACACCTGATACTGTAAAAAAACAAAAAAACAGTAATACATTGAGGGTAAATTAGACGGTACTTTGATGTGAAAGTGAGGATATCTTTACTGCCTCCATTAAGGGGTAAAGGTAATAACATACTCAAAACAGTGGTTTTACTATCCATAACACATGTTCAAGTTGGCTAATTAATTTGATCAGGGATCATGATGTTGATAGATGTTGATATCAAATTATTTTTCAATTAATTGTCCCCTAACTTACCACTGGAGCCTAAACAGTAAGACCACTATGGGGCAGAAACCCAGTCCCTTAGAATTGGCCTTGCCTTAGCTTTACAGTAAGCTCTCAGACTCACTAGAGGGAGTTAGATACCTCGCATAGAAACACGCTTGGTCGGGGTCGACTGAATAACTCAACGGCAACTGCATCAACCAACGTTGCGTTACTACTGCCATCTAACATCATTAGTGTTGCATCCCACCGAATTGCATTCTTTTGTTCAGTACTGTGCTTAGATAAATACTCATTTTTGAAGCCATGAGGTGTTAATGCAAGGTTGACTCAGGTACTGTAGAATCAGGCCGTGGACAGACAGTCACTACTTTAACTGAGCCACTGTCTTTGTCTTACTTTCTCTCCCTGCTTCTTCATGGTGCTATAGGTACACTAGATGGCAAGCAAGTGATCCTCTAGTTTCTAGAACAGACGAGCTGCAGTGATCTGACCCGATGAGAGGGATCAGATTCTCCTTAAATTGTGTTGATAAATGTCTTAATCAAACGCTGTCCTTCTCAGGCTTTGCCTTATTGAAAAGTTATGATTGAATGTTAATAATCCTCTTATTCCACATCCAATGTGTAGCAGCTCCATCAGGTGGCCATCGATGTGTTACGTTAAGGGGATGATTTTGCAGTTTTGTCCTTCACTCGGACACGGACCATTTGAGTGTTAACTTTTAGTTTTGAATAATGGTAATCCCCATTGACCTTTTAGTTGTTTTACACTGTTTTACATATCGATGAGTTTTAATGAAAAAAAATGTAAACAGTGAAATATCAATTGGGCTGTAAGTCATTGTGTATGCATACCTGTTTTTCGATAACACGTATGACAAAATCAAAGGCAAATGTTAAAATACCATTAATATAACACTTAATAGAAAAGACATTTAACTTGTTAAGTATTGACAGACAGTAGACAGGTGGGTAATATTTGGAAACACTACTACAATTCTATCTAGCTACAGATGGTATGTGTTAAAATGGTATCATGTTACATGATCCTCGCACCACCAAACCAGGACCAGAAATAACTATGGGCACAAAGTGAGTGTTGTTTGTGTGTTGTCTGGGAAGGGAACCCAGAGAGCAGTTGTGACAAATAGACAATAAAGTTGTATTGTATTGTGAGAATAGAGAGTATACAGGGTCTGTGACAGCATAGGCCAGTTAATATATATGAATGGAGAGACATTAGTGAGAGATGCTCCCCGCCAGACAAGAGGACAACAACTCAATAGACACCGAAGATGATAATGATTATGATGACGATGATGATGCAAAGGACAGATAAGGTTTTCCATTAGCACTTGTTTGATCTTTGGAATGTAGCAAGAATATAGTGGTGTATCTCAAAAGGTCAACATAGTCAGGTGAGACAGAGCATAGAACACTATATCTTGAGTCAAGTACTGTAATAGAAAGCTTGTTCTTTGTATTTGCAGAAAATCATTTGTTTGTGTTCTGTGCACATTATATATTCTGGTAGAGTTCTATCATCAACTATATGCCATAAAATCGATATAATTATGAATAGTCAATTATGAAATTCATTGTCAACGCTGCGGGAATTTTTTTATTAAAACATATTATTGGGCAAAAAATACCCACAAAATTATATTTTGCCTTTGCAAGGTTTTTCAAGATGTTCATGCATGTCCAACTACCAAATTGTTTTATCAGCTTGGAGGGATGTTTTCTCTTTCCATCTCTCTACTATCTATCAGGCATATTCAATATTTCATAATTATATATTATAACTTAATATTATTGTATTTTAAAGCAGCTGGACAGTGACATGTAATTCTATCATGTTAAATCTACACCCCACTAGATTATTAGATTAATATAAATCTGGCCATGCATCTTTGCCAAGAGATTTCAGCAAAAACAAGGGAACCCAGGCATGGTGGTGTGACTGTAAAGCCACGCTCTGTTTTAAAACCGTACATTAAAAGTGATAGTGATACATCATTACCTCTAGGATTTAAGGAACTCCTTTCTTCTTTCCCTCATTTTACCTGGAAATTAACCTGTGCTAAAGGCAAAACCTCAGGAACGTTCAACTTGAAATAAACCACTTCTTAAAATCTTGTCATTGATTTGTAGTTGAAATCTGGTTAACTTATTATGTTGATTACTTTTTGTGAATTCAACCCAAAAATCGATTAAAGGGACATTTCACAATTAAACAACTTAATGTTCATTATCGCCAGCACCACCACAACATCAACATATGTGAAAACTGTGTATTTCTATGTTTTGTTGTCAAAAAGATGCACATCAGATTATGTAAAAAAATATACAAAAAATACAAAAATTAGAAACATTTTTGATATAATCTGGTGTGCATCATGTGACTTTAACCAACTATAGGCAGGCAAAGGTTAGTAAAGTAAAAAGCATGGGCTGATGTCCACCCAAACATGTTTTGTAGAGGTGCTGACTAACAGAGAGTAAACAGTATAGAAGTAAAGAAAGAAAGTCGCAGTCTACAGCAGGGCTCTTCAACTCCGGTCCTGGAGGACTGAAACACTTCATCCTCTCCTTCTAATTAGGGCTTGATTCAGACCAGGGACACCAGGTTAGTTAAATTAACTACCAGGTAGAAACAAAACACAAAAGTGTTTCGGCCCTCCAGGACAGGAGTTGAAGAGCCCTGCTCTACAGTATATATATGCTCCCAACAATTTAATGGGTAAACCCATTTAATTACCCATTTAATGGGTAAACGCTGATGATGTCATCAGAAACACTTATCTTCCTCTATAATTTTGAATACAAAACATAGAAACCCTCCGTTTTCAAATATGTTAATGATGGGGTGGTGCTGGAGATGATGAATATGAAGTAGAAAAATGTGTATGTTGACACGTTGGTATGTTGATTCCTCTTTATTAAATAAGCTTATAACGGAAGGAGCATTGGGTAAAAGATAGGGTTCCTACTCACTTGTGAGGATCTTCCATGTCTTCTTCTCGTCATCGTAGTATTGGACCAGATTACTGGGGAGTCGATCGGGTCCAGGGGGCAAGCCACCCACCAACAACAGCATCCTCTTATTGGAACGAATCCTGGAGTAAAGTGGGTGTGGAGGCGTTGAGGGTTTGAGGTGTGGAGGGGGTTGGGGTGTGGAGGTGTTGGGGTATGGAGGGGGTGGAGGGGTTGTGGTGTGGAGGTGGGTTAGGGTATGGAGTGGGTTGGGTTGGGTTGGGGGGGACAAGAGCCGGGAAACAGATTACATAACAGATATAGAATAAATAAAACAACCACTTGCAAACATAAACACAGAGAGAACCCTTTTTGTTTAGTAGTAAGCCAACTGTAACTACTCCCAACAACTTCATTGTGTTGGTAGTCATTGAATTGTAGCCCATGTACAGTGCATTCGGAAAGTATTCAGACCCCTTCCATTTTTCCACATTTTGTTACGTTACAGCCTTATTTTGAAATTGATTCAATAAAAAAAGTCCTAATTAATCTACACACAATACCCCATAATGACAAAGCGAAAACACGTTTTTAGAAATGTTTGCAAATGTATTCAAAAGAAAAAACATTAATATTTTATTTACATAAGTATTCAGACCCTTTGCTATGAGACTCGAAATTGAGCTCAGGTGCATCCTGTTTCCATTGATCATCCTTGAGATGTTTCTACAACTTCATTGGAGTCCACCTATTGTAAATTCAATTGATTGTACAGGCACACACCTGTCTATATAAGGTCCCACAGTTGACATTGCATGTCAGAGCAAAAACCAAGCCATGAGGTCAAAGGAATTGTCCATAGAACTCCGAGAGGATTGTGTCGAGGCACAGATCTAGGGAAGGGTACCAAAAAATGTCTGCAGCATTAAAGGTCCCCAAGAACACAGTGGCCTCCATCATTCTTAAATGGAATAAGTTTGGAACCACCAAGACTCTTCCTAGAGCTGGCTGCCCGGCCAAACTGAGCAATCGGGGGAGAAGGGCCTTGGTCAGGGAGGTGACCAAGAACCCGATGGTCACTCTCACAGAGCTCCAGCGTTCCTTTGTGGAGATGGGAGAACCTTCCAGAAGGACAACCATCTCTGCAGCACTCCACCAATCAGGCCTTTATGGTAGAGTGGCCAGACGGAAGCCACTCCTTAGTAAAAGGCACATGAAAGCCCGCTTGGAGTTTGCCAAAATTCACCTAAAGGACCCTCAGACCATGAGAAACAAGATTCTCTGGTCTGATAAAACCAGGACTGAACTCTTTGGCCTGAATGCCAAGCGTCACGTCTGGAGGAAACCTGGCACCATCCCTACGGTGAAGCATCGTGGTGGCAGCATCATGCTGTGGGGATGTTTTTCAGCGGCAGGAACTGGGAGAATAGTCAGGATCGAGGGAAAGATAAACGGAGCAAAGTACAGAGAAATCCTTGATGAAAACCTGCTCCAGAGGGCTCAGGACCTCAGACTGGGGCGAAGGTTCACCTTCCAACAGGACAACGACCCTAAGCACACAGACAACGCAGGAGTGGCTTCTGGACAAGTCTCTGAATGTCCTTGAGTGGCCCAGCCAGAGGCCAAATTTGAACCTGATCGAACATCTCTGGAGAGACCTGAAAATAGCTTTGCAGCGACGCTCCCCCTCCAACCTGACAGAGCTTGAGAGGATCTGCAGAGAAGAATGGGAGAAACTCCCCAAATACAGGTGTGCCAAGCTTGTAGCGTCATACCCAAGAAGACTCGAGGCTGTAATCGCTGCCAAAGGTGCTTCAACAATGTACTGAGTAAAGGGTCTGAATACTTATGTAAATGTCATTATGCTTTGTCATTATGGGGTATTGTGTGTAGATTGATGAGGGGAAAAAATGATTTAATCAATTTTAGAATTAGGCTGTAACGTAACAAAATGTGGAAAAAGTCAAGGGGTCTGAATACTTTCCGAATGCCCTGTAACTGTATTCTATTTGGAAGATTTAGATAACAAAATAATGTTCCACATCATGGAGAAAAGTCCATATTGGCCAACACTATATGAGCTATATAGATCATAGCTGTAACATCTTAACGATCATGTGAATTTACATGATAATACTTCCTATGTATTTGGTAACAACATTGTTATTAATATTGTAACCTCTAAATACAGAAAATCGGCTTTGTAATATCACAGCTGTTTCTTATCTGAATTTATGATAAAGCTTTCAATGGCTTGTTTTTCATACGGTTTTTTTCTAAAGGGGGTTTACAGCTTAAAAATGTCTGTTCAATTAGGTGTGAACTCATCAGAACTTTTCTACAGGGTGCCATACAGTGAGGCAAATAATATTATGACTGGGCAATACACAGTAGATCAACTACTACATAAAATGTTGCTATTCCATTGGCAAAGACTCTCCATGTGACAGTTCTGAGCCAATTGTGCAGCATATTCTTGAGCTGTGGGGTTGGTTTGTGAAACACGATTTCAGGGCCACATACTTTACTGTACATTGAGTCCAGTCATCTAATTAAGTTCAATGCAATTAAACAACTAACCACAAAGTAACAGTCGTTTTAACAACATGCCCATTAATTCCAGGCATTTGCATCATTCTCGTTTTACGATTGACTAAATGACCGCCCTCTCATGCATCCATTTGGATACTGGCCGACTCGTGTTTTGGGGGTTATTCTCATATGCAAATGGCCACTAGACATAGATAAGGCTAATTAATTGAGCGGAGAGAAACAGTGGATTGTGATATTAATGAGCAGTCTAGATCCTAGATCTGTGCTGTATCTGGACCCATCTATGGGTATCTCACTCTACTAGGCAATGGTTACATGCTACAGCACATGCAGGCCCTCTCCATTGCACATAACATTTTATTGGATTTCCACTTTATGTGCTCCATAAAGATATTGTGAGAAAGAAATAGTGAAATTACCCATGCCGTAAATTACTCTGGTAAATAAATAATACCCCACAAGTGCAAGATAATTGTTGATTTCTATTTTCTACAATACTGTGAGAATATTTTTCCAATCATATAGCCTACTGTTTCTGAATGAAGCAGATAATGTTAGACAAATATAAAAGTCAAAATTGCTCCATAATATTTTAGACTTATAATAACTAAGTTGTTTTCTGTAAACAACAGCAGCATAAAGCCCTACCAATCAATCATCTCCCTGTCAACTCCTGTCCATTAACTATCTCTGAAAATGCTCATCATGACAAACAGACCATGACAAGCATCCCTGGCCATGCAGTACTGTATGTCCCATGGTTGTGTACTGTAGGTGAGGCAGACCAAGCAACTATCCTGAGTATGGATCACTCAGAACTATAACTCTATAACCCATGAGTTGTTTTCCTGTCCTTGCTAATAAATAAATATACCTACTGGTTGTGTATAAATAGGTTATAAGTTATAGGTGATATCTACCCAGGTTATGTCAATAAAAATGTTCATGTGCTCTTATGTCATATTTTTATAAGTGTGCCTATGTTTAGTTATGAGTGACCTATATATTTTTGGAATAATGTGATAACTGTTATTTCAGAAGAAATGCTTGAATGTACTGTACAACTATCTGCCTATTGACTAAATGTATGTACCTCCATCTTTTCAGCACTTAAAACCTTTACAGAGAAAAAAACATTTTACAGAGAGTTAACTAAGTTCTATAGTGTAGCGTTGGAATTGAGATGGTATGCAAAATAAGGTAGACCATTCTAAAGCATCCTCACTAACCCTAACCTTATGCAAGTATGCAGTATGTAGTACCTTTACTAACCTTTGTCCTATTCCAATGACTTCTTACACACCGCTCCTAACCCTTATTTGTGTGTGTGTGTGTGTGTGTGTGCGCGCGTGTGTGCGTGTGTGTGTGCGTGTCCTCACCTGCTGGCTGTGGTCTGCCTGCAGTGCTGTCTGAAGGGCATCAGGTGGTAGTTCATGGCGTCCATCAGCAACTTCTGGCACACCGGGTCACTCCTCATGAAGTCAACCGACTGCACCCTCTCCACCAGCTCTGGGGCCGGGATGAGGGCGAAGCGCAGCCTCTTCATCAGGTCCGGGGCGTAGTGCATGCGAGTCTCCCGGTCATGCTCCAGCCAGAGGACCGACATCTGGAAGAGGGCCAGCTCCGACTCCACCGGGGGCGGCAGAGCATCCAGCATGGCGCACATCTCCTCAAAGTTCAGCAGCAGCACATCTTCCACCAGGTACTTGTTGGCCAGCTTCTTGGTCTCGTCCAAGCCGTGCAGAGCCGCGATCTTGCAGATCTGCTTGTAGTTCTGCACAGAGATCTGGTCGTTGAGGAACTGCACGCTGAGCTTGGTGATCTGGGGGACATTGAGGATCTTGCTGACCGAGAGCACCTCTTCCACAGTGTCCAGGGAGAGAGTGACATTGGCAGTGTACAGGTACTCCAGCACTAGCCGTAGTCCGATGGAGGAGCAGCCCTGAAGGACCAGGTTGTTGATGGGCCGGGGGCTGGCCATCAGCTTGTCATCGGGGGAGGAAGACGGGGTACCACTGCTCCCCTGGTCTTTGTTGTTGTTGGTCCCCTCGTTGTTGAGCATATGACTGCTGGAGAAGAGAGACCTGAAATACTGAGAGCAGGACGCCAGCACGGCTTTGTGGCAGTAGAACTGCTGTCCCTGGGCAGTGAGAGTCACATCACAGAAAAGCTGTTTCCTCCATAGTAGGTTGAGCCCGTGCAGCAGGGTGTCACTGTGTGTAGGGTCAAAGGTGGAGGTTCTATCGCCAGATCTGGACATGACTTCCTGACTGTTAACGCCACCTAGGCAACAAATACACCACGCAAGCCATTTAGCCTACCTCTAGCCCATTTATTTGTGAATAACATAACATTATATAATCATTGCAATCAGGATGGAATTGTCTCTAATACCTTCACGTTACACCGAGCATTTTGGTTAAATGGTGGATATGCATACGACTGAACCAGTAAACCGTCATGCTGCTCCCTCCGATATTATTCTACAGTGAACAATATGGTTCAGTCCGGTATCATTTGAACTTTGGCTCAGGTCGGAAGAGAAAACAAAACGTATAGTCCCAATAATGTGCCATTCCTTTGCTATGTTCAGTCTTTCAAGACAAGATCATTTTAAATGGACGCTGCTGTTTGAAGCGCACTGTCAAAACAAAATATGATAGGAGATGCTGCAGCGCCTTATTCTCTTCGATAACGCAACTTAAGTTGTTGGATAAGAGGAAAAGGCAACCCCTATGGTGCCGTGCACGGATTCTATGCAGCATTCAGCTAACACTTATCGTTCTCCTCTTATCTTGCTGCACTCCCACAATGAGGACATTTACACATCCACAAATGCACGCACGGAGTGATACAAAAGCAATTAGTTTGTCCCTCACACAGCCGACATCATCACTGTGCGTGTGCGTTTTCCCTTATACCTGAGTTACGACTATTCAGACGTGAGTATCGGAAATTATTCATTCAATGCAGATATCCAACAAATATAAATGAAACACGCACATGTGTATGTTGTTGTACAACGCTAAACATGCATTTACTATATGAAATGTGTTTGTAAACTTGATATAAGCGTCCTGTACTACCTTGTTTCGTAGTCGCCACATTCTCTAAAGCGCCTGTCACAACTAAATGATGTGAGCAGCTTGCTTGAGAACAAGCCAAACTTACCTGACTTATGGTCTTGACAAAAAAGAAAGTAAAGCTTTAGGTTCCCAATATTCTCACTTGGCTTTCCTTTGTTCTCCTTTCCTTTAGATGTATTCCTTTCCTTTAAAAGTCTATGATCGTTGCCTCAAAATAATCATTGACTCCAACTCATAAAGTCACTATTTCAGGTTATTTGTTGACGTTGATCATTTGTTCTTCTGAATTAACAAGAAGTGTGTGAGTGTGTGAGAGGGAGCTGTGCTTTCTGCAAGAGAAGAAGAAGAAGAAATATACGTGTGACAAATTATGCTACCAAGAAACAACACATCATTATCCTTGGGCCTGGGGCTCAGTGAGTCGTAACGAGAGTAATAGGAAATCCACGGTTGGGGAGAGAAACGGTCGTGCATGGCCGGTGGAGAGAGACCATGCAGGGGTATGGATGCTGGAGAGACTCGCAAAATTATGGCTCAAGGCTATTGTAAAAACTGCCGAGCGTAAATGACTGCGATTTCAAACATCTATGGAAGAAAGAAAAGAGAAAGGGGGAGAAAAACCGAGTCTTTCCCTTGCTGTTATAGAGAGAACCGTCAAGTTTTAGTGCGCATTGCTAATTAGTCAATTTCTCTCTGCCTTCACAGCCCGACGACTTTGCTGCTGAGCTGAAACTGCTAATTTCTGGGACCAGCCTTTTTTTGGCTGTGAACTGGATGGATGAATGGCTTGTCTCGCACAAATGACAAAAAGGCTGCCTTAATCTCCATCGCCAAAATAACCCCTCATCTCATTCTGCTCCTGCTAGTCCTTCAAAAGATGCTCTATACAAACTTTAGTGGTTTATATGCATCACATTTGGACATAGAGTATCATATGACATATATAATATTATAAATTATAAATTATAAAACATATTTTTCTATGTTTGACAAAATCATGTTCTGGGAGCATAAGGTCATCATTCCAATAACCAGCCACATTGTATCAACTTAAGTTGCTATGCATAAAAACAGCCATTATATTACTATTTTATCATCTAAAAGCAGAACTTAACTATCAGATACTTGTAGCTTGATAGACTATTTAATGTGGCATGAACATAGTCAAACTGTAGGCCTACACAATAGAAAGGAATGAGTGTAATATGAACCGGACCCACATGATCATCGTGTGTGGATAGGCTTGATGTAGATAGATACTCTTTCTATATATTCCTCCTACACATCACTACAAATAAGCCCATACAAAGTAGGCCTCAACCTATTTTGACAGCATTTGTAAATAATTTCACCTTATAGTAGGTGTACAGATGCACTGTCAACTTTAATTAAGACACACTACATATCTGTCTGGTATTTGGTCTTTTATAACTCATATTCAGGTGGGTCAATTAGTCAACCATCTTCAAGGCCACAATAAAGGAGCTCCTGATCATATCCACTGTTATAAACATCTTACATATAAATATCTTAAAAAGCCATACATAATTCTGTTTTGAAAGTATTGTTATAACACTACACGTATCTTGGGAGGTAACATCTTATGTCCAGAACTGTCTGGTCCAACTTTTTGGTGTTACCACTATGTGGTTTTAGTGTCACTCAATACATGTGGTACCATATCTTATCACATACAATTGCCTATACTATCTTATCACATACAATGAAATTGTCATTCTTAATTGACTATATGATGCATTAAAGTTGATGTCTCATCACAATTGTCATATTGAGGGGCTATACGTAACAAAGCAAGTCAATCAAACATGTCTTTCACACAAAGTAAACGGTGAAAACAAAGCATTCAAGCAAATCAATTTCAAATCTGTTAAAGCATTTATTAGGTTGGACTGAACTGTCAATTAAATAAAGAGCTCAATTGGAGCAAAAACCTGCACATCCAGGGGTCCCCTGGGACCAGAACTGACAGATACCTCCTCACAAGTTCTAAAATGACAGATAGGGATAAATAGGCTTGTTCACATACTATGAAATAGAGTAACACCACAGGCAACCATCAGATAATAGCAGGCCACACAAACAGTGGGTTATAACGTTGATCAAATTCAAGCCTTCTTGATGCCTTTTGATGGTTGAATGTTTGACAACAGGACAGTACCACTTCTCAACCAAGTGTGGTGTATAGATCATGTTATTACCAGAGCCATTTGGTCTTGTAAAATGTAACCAGACCATCTGAGCATCCTGTGTACTCATCTGGTGCTTTGGCTCTACATGTTTCAAGCAAAGTCCATCACTAGATATTGTTAAATGAATTTGTGTTTTATCAAGTTAAAACACAATCGTTTTGATTATACTTCAACCTTTCCAAAGGACTTAACATACAGTATAATTGCATTCTAGTACCTAGCTATAATCCATTTTGTGGTATGTCTGGGACTGTAATGTTTGCAAAAGATAATACAACAGTCAATTAGGATGGCATTACCCAAGTCTCCGGCGAGCCATTCTAGTGCTATGAAATGACAATTTCGAACTCTTTCAGCTATTTGTAGAAACTCAGTCTCCTGAGGCCACTGGTCTTCAAATTGCAGGGCATTTATATGGTGGTAGGTTGTTGCAGTGTGGCTAGGGGGAGGGAGGGGGGTCGGTCATCAGATAAGAGAAGAGTTTCTGGACTAATTAAACCCGTTGAGACAGAGAATCACAGTACAGTGATTTACAACTCTCTCTATACCAGTTAACCCAACTCATATTTATCTGTCACATTCACATTAGATACACTGTACCGTATGTATTCCTTGAAGAGAAAATTACAATATATTTTATGGAACGTAATTAAAAAATATGATTGAGCACTAATTCTACTCTGTTATCAAACAAAAGCAAAATGCTTATACAACCACCTCAAGACATAAATACAATATATACTTACTTCTGTTGACCGGAGTTGACTTGCTTATGTACTGCTTATGTATGGACTATGAATGTGTTTTGAGTTTAGTGTGAGGTCTAAGGCTAGGGTTAAGGTTAGGACTAACCATAGTAGTGGTTTCCAGTCCTGGTCATTGAGAACCACGGGGTGTGCAGGCTTTTGTTCCAGCTCAGCTCACCTGATTGAAATAATCAACTAATTATCAAGACCTTGATTTGTGGAATATATTCTGTTTGTGCTAGGCTGAAAGAAAAGCTGACACCCTGTAGCTGTCAAAGACCAGGGTTGGTGCCCACTGCCCTACTACATAGAGTATATGCAGAGAAAGAAAACATATTTAGTGTGAAATATGTAGGAATAGTTAAGAAATGTGAATACGATACGCTTTGTGCATTTCTACAAAATGTGAACTAAGCTATTTATTTTTGTTAAAGATATCACTAAATATATTGACATACAATGTCAATAATTGAAATAACATTGTAGTGATAGGCATATCAACAACAATACAGGGAACTGCTAAATGATTTCAGCCTAGAATAAACAGATAAAAGATTAGAGCATTTAATCTAATCAATCCAATGAAACAAAACATGGAGAATCTATCTGGAAGTTATAGCATAGCAAAGTCTACCAAGCATAATTCATTTTGCTGGCTGCAGTAGCAGCAGAGGGTATGCTAAGATAGAAAGTATTATTTTCCTAAATGGAAGGTGTCAGATGGTCACGGAAATGTGATCGGCTGTTCAAGATCACTGCTTCCCATCTGCAATTTGTGACGTGTGAAAGATTCAGCCCAAATGTGCTCACAAACCGGAAATCCTCAGCACTTTCTCTTATCATGGAAAAGCAAGATAACCAGCTGTTTACAGATCACAGAACATATCATATTAATATCATGGAGAGGGTGATATCATCTTGTTTGTAAAAATATTTTGTTAACTAAGTGTGGTGGTATGGCAACCTTGGATCAGAGGGAAAGTTCTAATTTATAGATTTTACATGTAAGTGTTTTAGGTTAAAGACTTTATATTCCTTTCTCCAAAAATCTTTGGAAAATGAATAAAATATGAAGATATTGCCATGCGAAGCACATTTCTAATATCTCATTATGTGGCAAAATGTATGTACACCATTTTTTTGTGTTTGATCACCAACGCTATCCCTTTTAACGTGCACAAATTATACACATCAAATAGTAATTTCATACAGAATATC